TCTCTCTCTCTCTCTCTCTCTCTCTCTGGTCCTGTGTCTGTCTGTGTCTCTCTCTCTCTCTCTCTCTGGTCCTGTGTCTGTGTCTGTGTCTGTGTCTGTCGTCCCCCACCCCTCTCCCCCAACCCTGCTGTCGTCTTCCTCCCCCCCCCCTTACCCTTTTTTCACTCTCGCTGTTTCTTCAGTAATATTGGCTTTATCTCTAAACACACCCCACCCCCACTGACCTGCTGTGGATGGTATTGGTGAAGCTGTATTCTGTATTGTGCATGTGCTGTTTCAGATTAGAGGCTGCAGTAAACGTGTCGGTGAGGTTCCTGGTTTGATCCAATGTGGGGACAGGAGAATCCCAGTTTCTGAGCATCCCATAACTGTGGGTGCGTGGTGGTGAAGAACGTGCTGGCGCCTATGAAATGGGGGTATTCAAAAAAAGTAAATCTGGCTCATGTGTGGAGGCAGAATGCGATATCGTCCAACTCTGAGCAAATATTTCTTTGATATTCAAATGTTTTCCCCATTTCCAGTAAGGTGATTATTTCTGGCGCAGAAATACAACTTTTCTTCCAATTCGAGTAGGTGTGATAGGACCTGAACTTGTAGTGTGGGCGTTGAGAGGATCAAAGTGATGGATTTGTATCAATGAAGTATACTTAATTCTAAAGATATGCTAATTATTCTACCTCGCCCTGCACCTGAGCATGTTTTACTGCGGCAGGGATACTTCGTTCAGAAGGTAGGACTGTGGTTATTTAATTGGAACACTTGTTTTTACTTTTTTCTTCCTCCTCCCATCCAACACAGTTCCTGTTCTCCTGAAGTGCAGAAATTGTGGCTGAACGTGCCATTGCAAAACCCTCACAAATTAGACATGAATCTGCAATTGGACAGCACTTGCTGGCTAATCTAAACATGTGAAGAATTTTGCTAACAACCATTTTAGGATTGCCACTTGGGTGTGCTGGAGGTGACATACTTTAATACACCAGACTCCATGTTCTGTGGAGACGGACAGACCATGTACGTGCACTGCACATTGTTCAACCCCATCCGAATAGTTGATATCCATTCACTGGTTCATTCTCAGTGCAATGCCCTGATCGGCATAAGCCTGCCTAGTTTTAAAATTTAACAAAGCCTGGCTGTTAACTGTCGATCATCATTAATGGGTACATCATTCATGGCAACTCCTCCTCCAATCAGAGTCCACTTACGAGCCAATCAGCATTTTTCTCTTGTGCAGGATAAATGTTAGTTTATTCCTTGAATTGGTATCCTTGTGAATGGTCCTGATGAGTGCAGCCATAAGGCTTTGACAAAATGTCATTTTTTGGCAATACTTGCTACCAAGCAGGTATTCTAACCAGTTTTTTGGAGTTCTTTGAAGCAGTAACACGCATTTTGATAAAGGAGAGCTTGTAGGTGTACTATACTTAGTCATTGAGCTGTACAGCATGGAAACAGACCCTTTGATCCAATCTGTCCATGCCGACCAGATATCCTAAATGAATCTAGTCCCATTTGGCTCATGTCCCTCGAAACCCTTCCTATTCATGTACCCATCCAATGCCTTTTAAAGGTTGGATTTCCAAAAGGTATTTAGTAAGGTGGCACTTCAGAGCTTATTATGGGAAATAAAGGCTCAGCGTTGAGAGAGAAACCTGTTTGCACGGTTAGAGACTGTCTGGCTGATAGAAAACAGAGGACGCTTGAATGGGTTGTCATTTGATGAGTGAGATCCTGCAAGGGTTCTGTAATAGAGTTTCAATCCTTTTACAATTTACATCAATGATTTAGCTGAGTGGAATGAAGATGCAGCAACTAAATTCGCAGCTGACACCAGGGTAGGTAAAGTCTGTTGTGATTGAAGACTTTGCAGATGGCCCTTGATGGGTTGTGCGACAGTGTAAACACGAGTATAATGCAGAAAAATGAATTTCCCAAATTGGCAGGCATCATAAAAAGCAGAGGATGGCTGAAATGGAGAACAGGTGTAGAATTTGACAGTGCTAAGGGATTTGGGTGTTTTGGTGCACAGAAAGTTAGCTTGCAGATACTGCAGGCCATCAAAAAGGCTAATGAGATGCTATCCTTTTTATTGTGTGAAAGGATTGAATTTAGTTTTAGAATAACATCCTTACTTTTATGGAGAGTCTGCATCACAAATGCTGTGTTTTGGTGACCTTGTTTAGGGATCTTCAGAAGAGGTTTACAAGATTGATACCTGAAACAATTGCGTTGACTTCTGAGGAAAATCCCATTGGCTGTGCTCCTAGGTGGTCATTTAGAGTCATACAGCACAGAAACAGACCTTTTGCTCCAACTAGTCCATGCTGAACATAATCCCAAACTAAATAGTCCCGCCTGCCTGCTCCTGGCCTACATTCCTCCAAAACTTTCCTGATCGTGTAATTATCCAAATGTCTTTTACATATTGCAACTATACCCGCATCCAGCACTTCCTCAGGAAGTTCATTCCACACAGGAGGCCCTGTGGTGGAGCTGGATGTGAGGACTGTAACACATGGCCATCATTTGACCCAACAGGTTCAGGAGGCTCCTTCCTCCTCATTTTTCATCCCGTTGGTGTATGCTCCTTTTTTTCCCTCATGTCTATCCGGGTTCTCCTCCTTTCCCTAAACCGTCTCCTTTAACCAATACGTAAATGTTGTTTTACTTACTTGAGTGACGAATTGTGCTTGCATTAATTATTCAATATCTGTATTCCCCTGCTTTCTACCCACCCAGAGGTTGAAACATTTCTACCTGTTGACTCCTAATAAAAGAATGATTGATTGATTTGATTGGCATTTATACAGTGCCTTTTCACAGAATCCTGACAGAGTTAATTTGGTCCATTGAGGCTGCACTGAACCTCCTGAAGAGCATCCCACCTAGACCCTACCCTATCCCTCTAACCCTGCATTTCCCATGGTTAACCCACCTACCCTACACATCCCTGGACACAATGGGGCAATTTAGCATGGCCAAGCCACCCAACCTGCACATCTTTGGACTGTGGGAGGAAACCGGAGCACCCAGAGGAAACCCCCACAGACACTGGGAGAATATGCAAACTCCATATAGACAGTTGCCCGAGGCTGGGATTGAACCCGGGTCTCTGGTGTTGTGAGGAAGCAGTGCTAACCACTGAGCCACTGTGCTGCCCTTCTGTACAGGATGTCCCAATAAGTGTTGCAGCCAATGAAGTGTGGTCTCTGTGGTGTAGGAAATGTCACAGCTGGTTATGCGCACAGCAAGCTCCCACAAACTGCAGTGTGCGAATGAGCAGGATTACTGGCCTTCGCACTTTTCCACGCCACCCCTGTGTTCTTCTTCTGAAATTGTCTTCCGTCCCCCTGAGCATGCAGGCAGGCTGATGTCTGTTGAACATCTTCTGAGAGTTAGCGCACCCAGCAGAGAACAGATCTCCCTCTGTCAGCCCCGAGAGCCAGTCCTGACATGTGTCCAGCAAGGGCCTCGAACCCACAACCTGGCCGAGTGGTATTGCCGCTAATCAATTAATCCAGAGTCCCAGGCCATGTTCTGGAGACCCAGGTTCGAATCCTGCCAGATGATAAAATTTGAATTCAATAAAGAATCTGGAATTAAGGCTCTAATGATGACCATGAATCCGCTGCCAGTTGTCATCTGGTTCACTCATGTCCTTCAGGGAAGGAAACTGGCGTCCTTACCTGCGTTAGCCTCCATGTGACTCCAGACCCACGGCGATGTGGTTGACTCTTAGTTGCCCTCTGGGCGATTCAGGGTAGGCAATAAATCCCAGCCTAGCCAGAGATGCCCACATCCCACAAATGAATGAATGACTCGGATGTGAGTAAGTGCTCCACGCTGAGCCGTAGCTAATGGAAACTATTGGGTTGTCACTTGGCGTCTAAGCACCTCATCCTATTGGTCTTTCCTGGAACTTCTGCTGGCAGTGATAGTCACTGTTTCATTAGCCTATGTGAACTATCAGCCTTTCTTGTTCCTCCCATAGGACAGCTGTTGCGTTGATCTGCAGGTGATGTTGTCTCTGAATCGCTCGATTGGACACCTTTACCGTCACTCAATGGATAGGCTCCAAAATTTGACGTTCAATGTGCTCCGGGAGCTGAGGTTTCTGGAGGATTGCCCGATTCATGTAAGTCTCCCATGTGCCTTTGGGGGTGAGGGGGATGGCCTGAAGGAGGGACAGAGTTCGGAGTTCACACTACTCCTAACCTATCCCACCTTTCTCCACTCTGAGTCCCAGTGCAACCTTTGGTGACCCTCTGTAATAGCATCAATATTCCTGGGGCCATTAGAGGAGTTAAAGACTTCAAAATGTATGTGTACTTCCCCAGTCTATTTGTATTCTAGACCCAGGTTACCAAAAGAACATTAAAACCAAAAGAACTGCAAATCTGAAACAAAAGCAGCAATATCTGTGGAGAGAAATCAGCGTTAACGCTTCCTCAGAACGCCTCTGCAGCAGGAAGAGGTTTTCAGATGAGATTTTATCTAAAAGGGAAAACAGGCCTTAGTTTGTGGATAATAGAGATGCAGGATTCAAAGAGGAGGAGGTCCTGACCAATAGTGATCCCTCTGATACACACCATCCGAACAGACCGGAGATAGCAAGAACTGCCGATGCTGGAGTCGGAGATAACACAGTGTGGAACTGGACGAACACAGCAGGCCAGGCAGCATCAGAGGAGAAGGAAAGCTGACGTTTTGGGTTGGGACCCTTCTTCAGAAAATCTTAACTTTTTGAAGAAGTGTCCTGACCCGAAACATCAGCTTTCCTGCTTCTCTGATGCTGCCTGGCCTGCTGTGTTCCTCCAGCTCCACACTGCGTTATCCCAATAGACCAGATTTCTGTACTAAACAAAAACTACTATTAATTACAAACAAAGATGTATGACATCGTTATTTGTGAATCATAGGCCTATAACTCCACTAATTAAAATTGTAATGTCCTTATAAGCCAAGCCCCCTTACGCTGACAGGCAGAGAGACCTAGATGGGGTCTGCGGTGGAACTTTGGGTGTTATGGACAGAGGGAAAACCGGGAAAAGAGTTACATGAGGTCATTGTTTATGGGATGTGTTGAAATGCTTCTTGCACTGGTCAGATATCAGACCAGATATTTCCACTGGTTTGCAAGAGGCACAGAGTGGCTGGTTCACTTTACAAGAACTTATTGACTAAAGGTCACAGCTTATGGCATCTGCTGAAGTAAAGATAAGCAGGTTTTCTTCAGGCTTAACATGTCTTTTGCTTCAGAGAACTGTTTAAGTTCCTGAGTGGGCTTCTCTACACCTTGTTCATAGGCCCAAGCTATTCAGCTACCTGAGAGCCGATTGTCAAATTGTTGGCAAGCAGAAAACCTCTGCCTTGGTAACTGGGCAGTAGTCCACGAACCAAACCAGAATTTGTTGCTACCCAAAACCACCATTTGTGCACAACCCCTTAGGCCCAGTTCATATGCAAACGCTGCTGTAACCCACAGCTGTACAAAGTGTTCACAATGAAGATCAAGTTACTGGCTTTCAAAGCATGCAATTATCCTCTGTTTTAAGACTTTTTTTTTTCTCATTTCAGTTCACAATTTTAAAAAAAAAAAATGCACAAATAAAAAGACACATAGTTTGTAAAGATTGTAAGGCAATGGCCTACTGGTATCATGTTAGTCCAGAGGCCCAAGTAATGTTCTGAGGATCCAGGTTTGAATCATGCCATGGCAGATGGTAGAATTTGAATTCAGCAAAAATCTGGAATTAGGAGTCTAATGACGACCATAAATCCACTGTCAATTGTCGGAAAAACTCATCTGGTTCACTAATGTCCTTCAGGGAAGGAAACTGCCATCCTTACCAGGTCTGGCCAAAATGTGACTCCAGACCCACAGCAATGTGGTTGACTCTTAACTGCCCTCTGGGCAATTAGGGATGGATAATGAATGCTGTCCTGGCCAGTGATGCTCTCTTTCTGTGAATGAATAAAGAAAAAAGGCTTTCTAATTCAGTCAGCTAATGGGTTCACATTGAGTGCACTGGAAGTTGCCTTGGGGGCAGGATTTTCTTTTATTTGCCCAGAGAGTAGAAAAAAAGAAGTTTCAAAAATAGTTATGAACATACTGGGCCTCCATTTTGAAGTATGTGTGAGGAGTCAAATTGATCTATCCTTCTGTTTAGTTCACTCATGGATGTGGGTATTGCTGGTTGAGTCAGCAACATTGACCCTCGTTACTCTGGAGAAGGTGGTGGTGAGCTGCCTTCTTGAGCTACTTCAGTCTATCTGGTGTAGGTAGACCCACAATGCCATTAGGGGGACGTTCCAGGATTTTGAGCCGGCAACACTGAAGGAACAATTGTATTTTTCCAAGTCGGGATGGTGTGTGTCTCTGAGGGGATCTTGAGGGATCAATATTGGTCAGGACCTCTTCCTCTTTGAATCTGCATCTGCATTGTCCACAAACTAAGGCCTTGTTTTCCTCTTTTAGATGAAATCTCTTCTGAAAGCCTCTCCCTGCCACAGCCCTGTGCTCCCACGGGATCACATTGGGGAATTTTACCCAACTTGTGCCCTCAAGCCTTTGAAGAGGGTAACTTTCTGACTCTGTATGTGGTGCTACAAACTGAGCTGTGACTAGCACCACATTGGACTGTTTCATCCTTTGAGGATATTTCTATTTTTTTTTAAGTTGTGTCTCCCTGCTCATGGTGACACATTTATTCCCCATTCCAGGAATCCTTTCACTGTGAAATGGTGCAATGGAATTCTTCGCATCTTCTCCTGAACTTGATGGAACGTTTCAGACTTTTCGATGCCACGTTCAACCAGAACAAATGTGACTTTGGACGATGCACTTTACACGCCTGCCTGGCAGGTAAGGACTTCTCTGTTTTTGCAGCTTCACTTGTCATTGTGTCATGGGGTGGTGGGGATTAGTGTGGTCTTTGTTCTCGGTAGGGTTCGAGGGTCAGCAGTAACGTGGCAGTGTGAGGGAATGTAACACCTCCCCGTTACTTGGGAGTGAAATTGAGCAGGGTCCTGCAACAAGCAGCAAGCTGCACCAACCTCATGGGATCAGACAGCGGGGATAGTGGCCATGTGGCCGTTGCACATGTCAGCTTTGTTTAGTAGAACTATCCAATTAATCCCGCTCCTCTTCCACCGCATCAAGTGCAGCATTTATTGTCCATCTCAATTTGCAACTTGGTAAAACTTGTAATAGAGTAGTGTTAAGAGATAACAAGGTGTAGAGCTGGATGAACACAGCAGGCCAAGCAGCATCAGAGGAGCGGGAAAACTGACGTTTCGGGCCTAGACCCTCTCGCCTCGCTCTGAGTAAGTTTCAGTGTAAACTTGTAGCTCTCATCCCTCCCCGTTCTGCACGCCTGTCTATTGGTCGTTGTACTGCCAAGTCCGAAAATAAACGTGAAGTTTAATTTCCGACCCTTCCTGCTTTTAGGAGATGTTGCAACGACAATATTGCCAGCAGCAAATGCCACAGCAACTTCAGTGGAGCCGGGAATGTTTGCCAATGGAACGGAGAACGTGCCCACCCGTGCAATTATTGGCAATGCAACCAATCCCACTCCAGCTATGACCCATCGCAACCTGACCAGCTTAACCAACGGAAGCAATCCGTCTCCAACCTTGACCAATTGGAACCTCACAGGCTTAGCCAATAGAACCAGCACCATTCTGGCTTTGATGAATGACAGCATAGCTGCTACAACAAACCAAACCAATATCAACCCAACACCTCCAAGCAATGGAAACAACAGCCCACTAGCAGCAACATTCTGCAGCACTGAGCCCCGTGCAACCATCTCTCCAATAGCAACACAAACAGTTGTAATCATACTCATAGTCAGCATGTTTTTAAATATGGCCCTCTTCACATGCTTGATGGATAGGAGAAGGCGGATGGTAAGTGATTATTTTTTTTTCTTTTTATTTTGAAGAGATATGAGAGAGTACCTTCACAGTACTGTACTTTCCTCAAAGCAGAATTATTCCAATTTGGTGTTTGTTAAATCCTTATTTACACCTTGCAGCAACTTTGAATCGCATTTATATTGCTGCTAGTTGCAGTGGAGCGATTTAATGTCATGGAAGTCAGAGGCCAGAAGTGGAGGAGCGTGGATCTCTCCACTGTAGGCTGGATGAGGTTACGGAAGTGGGAAAGGGGTCTGAAAACCATGATGAGAACTTTTTAATTGGCAAGACATTGCTGCCTAAGGTGCCAGTTGAGATCAGCATGCTCTGAGGTCAGTGAGGGACCTGGTACGTTGTGTGAATTTAGGATAGGAACTGCAGAGCACGAGACCCAGAGGACCTTGGTTTGTGGTTGCGTTTTGTTCAGGAGTGACTTTCTTTTTGGGAGATGCGAAGGCTTTTGTGCCGACTTGTAGAAGCATTGTGAACAGTTCTCAAGTCCACAATTCAGGCTGGCTAATCAGTCCTGAACTGTCCGAGAAAAGCATCTTTCCGGTTCAATGCTGAACCGCTGCCCTGCCCCATCTGCTTGACAGATGCATAGTAAAATGCTGCGATGCTTTTCTGAAGGTGGATTCTCCCCAGTATTGTGGAGAATATTTCCCCCCCCCCCACCCCACCCCAACCACAATCACTTCCCAAACAAAAACGCAATGAGGTTTGTTGAATTTGTAGCCATTCCTGTAATCTTGCTGTGCACAATTGTCAGCTACTGTTTCCTACAACAGTGACAGCACTTAAATGCTTTGTTATTGAAAGATAGCCAGGGCATTCTGAGCTCATGGAAAAAAAACGCTATGTGAATCCAAAATCTTTTAAATCCATTTGATTGGTGCGGTTTTTTTTTCCTGAGGAATCTTGAAGGATCATTCATGTTTGCATTAGCCAGCCTTGAAGTTTTCACCAAATTGGATTTTGTGGCAACTTATTGTGTTTTAGATGTAAATTTTCCAAGTGTGCTATGTTTTGATTGGGGATCATACGGTTTAAACCTCCCTTAAACGTGGATCGCAGGCTGCGATGAGGCTGGTGATTTCACACTGAGGTTACTTCAATGTGTTTCAGTGCCCTTGGACTGTGGCTTCCTGCTAGTTGATCCCTGGGCAGAAACTGCCAACTAGAATGTGCTACCCAGTGATTTAACCAGAGGCCAAGGCGTCACTTTTCAAAAAAAAAATGATGCCTGCAAAATAAGAGCTCGGGGCGTGTGGGATAACTTTAGCATTGATGGAAAATTGGGTGGCTATTAGGAAGCAGCGTGAGTATAGTGGGTCTTCTACAGGTTGGCAGGACATATGTTTGCCACAGGGGTCAATCTTGGGGCAATTGTTAACCTATAAATGGCTCTTGGGGGTTGTGGGGGTGAGCGGTCATTCATGGCTGCTAAACTTGCTGGTGGTACTTTGCTATATATCTTTGCAAGTTATGAACAGGACAAAAGGAGGCTATAAAGGGACCTAGAGATAGTAGGAACTGCTGATGCTGGAGAATCTGAGATAACAAGGTGTGGAGCTGGAGGAACACAGCAGGCCAAGCAGCATCAGAGGAGCAGGAAAGCTGACGTTTCGGGTCTAGACCTTTCTTCAGAAAACTGATTTCTGAATCTTTCTTTATCTCTATCAAGGTACCTAGATCCATTAAGAGAGCAAGTAAAAATCTGGTAGACAGTGTGTCGTGTGAACTAGCCCATTTTGGAAGGAAGGAAATGAATAGAAACAGCATTTTATGGAAATGGAGAGAGACTGCATTGCAGAATTTGCAGTACCAATGGATCTGGGTATCCTGGTACATGAATCTTTTAAAGTTAGCATGCAGGTACAGCAAGCGATTTAAGAAGGTAAACAACATTCTGTTTACCCACAAAGTAATGGAATGTAAAAGTAAGGGTGTTGTTCTCCAGTTTTTTATTTTGAACAGAGCATTGCAGAGTAAGGTGTGCACAATTTTATCTATTATTTTTAGGAAACGATCTAAATACTTTAGAAGCAGTTCAGAGAGGATTCGCTCAACTAATAGCTGGATTACACTATGGTGGTGTTCTGCCAACAGGAAAGATTGACACATTAGGGCTTGTGTCCATTGAAGTACTAAGGAAGGAGAAATCTACTGCCGTTGGAGGCAGTCCAGATCTTAGTGAGAGGAAACCAAAGGATTCTTAGAGGGTTTGATGGGGTAGGTATGGAAAGGTGGCTCCCCCTGTAGGAGAGCCTAGGACCAGAGGGCATCATCTCATTTGAAACAGATGAAGAGTAGTTCCTTCTGAGGGGAGTGAATCTGTGAATTCTTTCCTGTGGAGGGCCTTAGAGACTGGGTCATTAAGTATAGTCAAGGCTGAGAAGACTTTTAGTCAGTAAAGGGTATTGGGGGAAAGGATAGGACAGTGGAGTTGAGGATTATGAGATCAGCCAAGATGGAGTGGGCTGAATGGCCTACTCCTATGCCTACATCTTATGAAATCAGAGTAGGATCCTGAGTGGACTTGACCGGGTGAATTCTGAAAGGATGTATCCCTTCTGGAAAAGATTCAACCTAGACAATCTGGATATAACATTTGAAATGAGGTTTTTTTTTCCCTGAGGATTGTGGGTTTTTGGACCACTGTGTCTTTCCCTAGACTCTGGTGAAGATGGGGGCCATTAAATATTTTAAGGCTGCTGTTGATAGCCTTTAACTCCCTGATTAGTCAAGAAACTATTGGCATGGGGTGAGATTGCGTGAAATTTGAAGTCAAAATATTGATCAGTCATTATCTTAATGAGTGGTGGAACCAGTTTGATGGACCGAGTGGCCTCTACTTGCTGATGGAACATGTGCCCACTGTAAGGCTGATTTTTGAGGTGGTTTCCCCGTTTGTGATGCCTTGCAAGATTCAGTAGCCAATACTTTTTTCTCTCTGCACTGTACGCAGTTGGGAGATTTTCTTTTGCTTGAGAGGATGGTTGGTACCTGTGGGACTTTGAGAAACAGGTGGTTCCCTCAGGGGAGGAGGGATAAGAAATCCCGAAGGATTACAAGATAAAACTGTACTAGTCCAAATCTTGGTTTCTAGGATGGGTTGTCGAACTGAGAATTTTGAACAAGATTGGCTGCAACTCTGCTTTTCAGCATGGAACTGCAAAGAGACATGAGAGGTTTTTCACTGTTCAGTCATCAAGAATACCAAATTTCAACCAATCATCAAAATTTATTCCACAGGAGGAATGTTTGACAAGTCGCTTCTGGCTGAGGCATTGGGGGAAGCACTTGGGGAATGTGCTGTCCCAGCTCTCGGATAATTTAAGAAAAAAAGCTCAAAGTCTGAATCCTCCTGTTTACAGAGAGCTAATTCCTGCCTCAATGCCAGTTATATCTCCTCTGGCTCTACTTTCAAAACCCCAAACTAAATCTTTACTATTAGATATGATTCAATGATTGGGTGACACTTGCTTGTCAAGCCAAAATGTGTCAATAACTATGCTGATAACCAGCTTACGACCACCACGATCATATAAATCAAACTCGTGTTTCTCGCTTTAGCGATATTCCATGCTTTCTCTTTGTGGAGTCCAGTGGTTCTGGCTGATTGTGAACAGAATGTCAAAGTTTCACTTCAATCCTTTGAATATGTCCCACTGGGTCTGAGCAAATTGACATCCTCCCCGCTCCTCTCAAACAAAAGGCTTTCTGTGAAATTAAATTGTTTAGCGTTTCTTTCAGTCTCGTTTGCTGGAGGTTAAAAAGGACTGCAGGTGGACTTTATTTCTAAACTGCATTGTGATGATCTATGAGTGAGGTTGTAGAGAAGTGGTTGTGAGAAGGAAGTGCTTCAGTGATATCTCGGGCAGTGGAGACTGAGCTTAGATTTGTTGGGCGGAGTAGAAAGTGATTTTCTCGTGTCCACCTGAGCATTCCTTTTATTTAAAAGAAAAAACATTCTTCCAGGATTCGATGAGGGGAGGTAGAGAGAGACCACTTCCTCTGGAGGGACTGAACAAAGGGGACAGAATCTTAAACTTAGAGCCAGACGGTTCAGGGGTGATGTCAGAAAGCACTCCTTTTTTTATATAAAGGGTTAAGGGTCCCTCTGTGTCTGTCTCTCCCTCTGTGTCTGTCTCTCCCTCTGTGT